TTTCTATTTAAACATAAAAACAGCATTTTAATAACAACTAAAGGTGACATAGATACTTTATTATGGTATAGTATTTAAATGTATGTCTGAGAAACACGTAATATTGGCCCTTTAACTGGTGTCACAGCCACCACTCCCACTTAGTTTCCCACCAGTTAATTAATCTCTCTTTGTTCTTTATACAAYTGCATTCACTTCACTAAATATATACTAAACAAAATGAACAAAATATGATCTCAAACTCCTTCTTTCTGCACTCTGTACCTTTTTGTTGAACTGCTTTTAAAAATCCTTTCCAATAAATCATTGTTTTTATGAAACGGAGCATTTACAGTGACTTGTAATGAGAATAAAACACATCTTCTATTTGTTCCACCTGAATCCCAGGAGAGCAGCTCCAGTGGAAAGTCTAAGCAGGTTCTGTGTTGATTCTGCTGGGCTCAAAATGCTGCATTAAGAAGCAGCGGACAGCTCTTCACTGTCACCTGCTGGCTGAAAACAGTCACTTCATTAAAACAAGTCCTTACAGGCTCAGAGGTGTGGGGGCTCCAGGTGGGACTGGAAACTGCAGAGTCCAGGCTGAGCCGGGCCAGATTCTGGATGTTTGCGTGTCTCAGAGGGGACAGAGACTTGGATCTGGGTTTCCCTCGGTTCATCCTCCCTCCGTGGGTCTGTGGTCTGCTGGAGCGCCTCCTGTTTCTCCTGATCCCTGGCCTCTGGGCACAAAGGGAATGAATGTGTCAAGAAATAAAGATTGCATAAATACAAAATTTGAATTCAAAAGTACTTTACTGATCCCAGAAAGAAATTAGACACTAAAGCTCTCTGCAAACATCTGACAACTAAATGTTTCACTAACTGAATAACACCTGTGTCTAACGGGTCTAAAGGAACAGTGGCATGAATACCCTTTTTTAATTATTATTACCATGGGTGTATTGGGGTAAATGTTGATGTGTGCATCAGCTGAACACTCAGTGATGGTTGTTTTGGTGGAAAACTCCAGCCTTGGACAAATACCCTGAAGAAAACAATTAATAAATAAATAAAAATAATATTAAAGAGAGATCACAAAAGGAAAAAAAAGGTCAAAAATGAGAATTTTATGTTAGATATTATAGAACTGGTCTTATTTTTTAGGCCCAGGTTCTGCAGCTCTGAAGCCACAGGTGGTTCCTTGAACTCTGGCCTAAAATGACGAAGCTGAGGATTAATTCTACTTAAATCAGCAGTTTCTTTTTCTGTTTTCTTTTCCAAATGTTAACATATTTATAATATTTCTGCAGCAGACAGTTTAGCCATCTGTGTTTTAGCACACAGCAGCAGACATAAACACACTGTACACAACTTATTTCAGTACCAGAATCAATAAAAATGTCAAAAGTTTTTACTTTTAGTTTGCACTAAAATGCACTGAAATGCAGTGATTCATTTTATATTTGATTTAACAGTTTGTCAGCTCACTGACTACTTTATATCTGCAACAGTCTGATTTATGTTTTCCCTACAAATCACCAGAAAAATGAACATATTTCAATACATTTAGGGGAAATAGCTGTATGTGCAGAAAGCAGAGTTGTGCTATTCTATTAAATGACAGACCACAGCAAGTTTCTTATAAAATAAATTGTTGTTGTAAAAATAAATWAATTAATTAACAAAACAGCAAAACTAAACTAAACTGAACAAAAAAATAAATAAAATAAAGGCCTGATTCTAATGACAGCACAGTTTTTTCAACAGTTGGGGCACTGAGCAAAAAAATAAATAAATAAATAAATAAAGTGAATTTTAATCTAAATCTCTTTTCTAATGAGTTTCGACTTTTTTATAATACTCTGGATAACTTTTTGTTTTGAATTAAAGCAAAATGGATCAACTGATTTGAATAGTTAACTTGAATGTATCATTTTCTCATTTAAAGTGTTTTTATTGTCTTAAAAAATGTCAAAAGTACATTTTTACTCTACAACATTTTCAGCTGAATTTCATGAAAAGTATTTATTTACAGTATAAACAGGAAATCTGGATTTATTGGGAAGTTCTGGCAGAGAAAAACCCATGGCGCAGGCAAAAAAAGGTTATTTATTTAACAAAAGAAGGCTAGCAGGGCAGCTCAAAAACTTTCAGAAATCTCAGGAAGAAACAAGAACTTGAGGACAACCACACAGGCTGGGTGAAAACAGCACAATGAACCAACAAGCACTGAACACAGGACACAGAATATAAAGGTGAACTAATGAGGGACAATGGGAAACACCTGGGGAGACACAAGAGGAAACAGGTGAGCGTGGGCGGGGCTGGAGGCAAGACAGCAGAGAAGAGATACACAGGGGAACAGAGAAACACTAGAAAATGAAAGTAAAAACACACACATCATGACATTTATCATGTACGCATGTTATGTTTAAGAAGATATGTTCATTAAATGCATCATTCCTGCTAAAATAACTTTAGAGTGTTTAAAAAGGTGTTTAAAAAGGTGGTCTTACAGGAAAATGAGATGCCTTCATCATCAGAACTTCTCGATCCACTCCAGACAAAGGAGGAACAATTTTGGGCTCTGAGAATAAGAAACTTCGAGCATCTTCTTCAAARCATGCAAGAATTTCACCAGCTACAAAATAAAGAGTTTATCATTATTATTATCAACCGTGTCTCATCGTATAATCCTCATTCCATGAAGACAGAACAGAAACACAAAGAACCACACTCTGAATGAAGATGTTCAACAGACAAACTGGAGTCGATGTCTGAAGGTTTCTTATAATCCAGTTTGTTTTTTATGCACAAAACATTTGTCTTTTTCAACAATACATCTTTTAATAAAATCAGGTTGTCACCATGTTCTTTTCAACTGAATGACATTTTGTAATTTGATTTACAAACTGAAAATAAAAACAAAAGTGGTATAATTATCATTTCAATGTGAAAAATGTTTAGGATCAGTTTTATGACATTTAAACTAAAACAAACAAACAATGTTATTTTTTTATTTAAAATCCTGACAGGAACAATTTGTTATCCAATGTGACTAAGGCATTACCAAAACACTAAAAAAATACATTTTATGTTCTTATAAACTAAACATTTTGGTCAAATTTATAAATGAATTGCATTTAAAAAGCAAAATAAAATTCTCCTGTCTCCTACCTGGAGGACTCATTTGAACCAGTTCTGTTCTGAGTGTCTCATCTGGGAAGAAGATCAGARATTCAAAGATTTACTGTAGAAACACAATCCACAAATATGTACACATTATTTGTAACACTGCTGAATATGACAGAACATACAAAACCATTGTACTCATTTGACTTTAAGTTTTGCAAAAATATTTCTGATTAAATGCTCAGGAGTTCTAAGTGTATTTAGTTTTTCACAGCTTATTATTATTATTTTTAGTAGTGGTAGTGGTAGTAATACAGTATAACAAAGTGACATGATGAGTGTCTTGCATGTGCAATAAAACTCAGACAACCAATTCCACAAAGTACTTTTTATATTTGGACCTAATATTTCTGTCTTTGTTAAAGAATTAGGGTCCATTAGAGTTGGACAAAATCATWTCATGTGCAATTATTAACAGCAGAAAAACTTTAAGCTATTACTTTTTGGCACTTGATGATTAATACAATTAATTAGGGGTGCACCAAAAAAATCGATTCACATCAGAATCATGATTCTCATTTAAAAAGATTCAGGATCGATTTAAAATGTCCCAAAATCAATTTTTAAAAATATAAAAGAAATAAAGCAAATCCAATGGCTGTCAGCATCCGTTCTGTAACTCTGTGAGACGTCCTGACGTCACCACGCAGCTGGTTCTGGAACACATGCATGTGCAGAAAGCACCAAAACAATGACCTACAAAACTGGAGGAAAGAGAGACTCAACCAGCCCTGATGTTGCTGAATGCAAAGATTTGGGCTCATTTTGTTTTGTTTTTTTAATTGAATTTAAAAGAAGCAAATAGAAGGAACATGTTTTCTTTACTGTAACGTTGTGGAGCTATTGAGGTCATAAGCTCATGATGGTACCTCTGGTATGTAATCTACACATCTGTGCTGTAAAAAAACTTGATACTGTAAACTGACTGATTTGCTGATAAGTTGCTCCTATAGTAGAACAAAAAGATCTCCAAATAGCCGCCCTTACAGAAACCCCAGAAAGCCTGGGGAATGTGAACTGATGTTTGGTGCATGAGCAGCACCAAGTCGCAGAGAGGAAACCCTCTCATCCACAGAGGTGAACTCCAACACAGAGGAATACAGCCAGGGGCTACACCCGCCTGACGCCTCTCTCCCTGGACAACTTCTTATGTTGAAGTGGTTATCATCCAGTGTGGAAGAAGCCTGAACAATTCCTGAACATAGTTATGGGCATTGATTTTAATGACAGCTTCTTTTATTTACTCTGAGCACTTGCTGCGCTCCTTAGAAACATGGATTAAACTGTAACAAACACACTTACACTCAAGCATTACAGAGATGTCTCCAGGGTCAACAGCATACCTGAATATCTGTGGAACAAAAGATCTGTAGTTGATTTAAGTCTCCTTCTGCTATAACACAAACATACAGTCTTTACGAGATGCCAGCTTTGTTAGTAAAGACTGAATAAGAACAAGTCAAAAGGTTTTTTATCCATGTGAAACTAACTGACACTACTTTCACTGAGTAATAACTGAAATGTGTGTGTCTTTAGCATGAATATTACACAGACTTTTTCAAAGGTCATCTTCTCGTAGACCAGCAGAGGAAAGACAGCAGGAAGACATTCAGACTGGCGGTGCTGGCCCATAAAGCACACGCTCAGGTAAACGTCATGTTTGGCTGGAAGACGAACTCCAGGACAAGAAACCTGAGAAGAAGAAGAAACAAGTTCTGCTGTATTGATCGATACATTTTTTTGTTTATTAAGTAAAAATAAATACAACTAAAGCTTCGTAAAAGCTAAACCATTTGAACTGAAGCTGCTCTAAATTCAGTTACTTTTGGTTTAAAACTGTAAAGTTTGACTAGAAAATTTTTATAATTCTGAAAAATACCAATGCAATCCAGAACTCAAATGGACATAAACTTTCTTCTTTAAAGCTCAATAGCAGTGTTTCCCAACGTTGGGGTCGGGACCCAAAGTGGGGTCCCGAAACATCAAGGTGGGTTCCTGAAAAGATTTTCTGAATTATATTTTTGCCCTAGTTGTTACAAAGGAGTGAGATTAGTATACTTAAAATGGATAAATTGTTACCATGCCCATGTTCAGTTGACCTGATACAAATGTTTATCATCCAAAAATAGTTGGGGCCACAGGTCTCTACTGTTATTTTGTGGGTCAAAAGCTGAAAAGTTTGGGAACCACTGCTCTATAAGGACTTAGGGACTACTTTTGCAACAATGTAAGCTGACAAAAAACACAGCAACTTGAGTTTTATTTTGTAGTTGAAGACAATTTGCTTCCCATCCATTTCTCTCTCTGTACAGTGAAAGATGTCATTGAAAATATGTGGTATAAAGACAGAGGTCCAGCAGGGTTACAGGTCTGGTTCTGCTCTTTATTATCCTGTTCAAGTTGTTTTCTGACAGTTTCTGTTGCCTCTGATCTAAGTACGCAAGTGAAAAACGAAGTGGCTCAAAATATACAAGAGCTCCTCTGAAGTCAGCTTCACTTGTTGAACTCTGTAAAGTTCACAAAGTTCTCTGTGATGTAATATTTTACCAACAAAGGAGCTAAAATACCAACAGGATGTTCTGCAACATCATATGTCAGAGTTTCTGCTGCTGATGATGGGTCTGAGGAATGTTCAGTTTATGTGTGTTTTTGGAAATCCCATATGTAATTTGTGGTTTGTCCTTTGAAGGCTGGCAGCACTGTAGTGTCCTCTTCAATGTGCAGTTGGATGGACTTCCTGACCTGCAGGCCACAGAGTGTCACCGTGGTTCAACACATCCTCCACCTTCACCGTGAACACTGGCTCACCTCAGGGCTGTGTGTTCAGCCCACTGCTTTACACACTGATSACTGCATCAACCTCATCATGAACATCAAGAAACCACATAGGTGACTGTGGATTTACAAAGGACTGGCACATTTATTTCCTGATGAAATTGAAAGGAGCAGATCTGGTTGCTGGAGTACTTAGGTCCAGCTGTGTGGTGGAAAGTGCCCTCGCCTTCTGCCTCACTGAGTCTTTCCATCTTCAGACATTTTCTGATGACTCTGCAGTAGTTGGATGCATCATTGATGGAGAGGAGGCTGAGTACAAGATAACAGAGGACCATCTACASCTCAGTGTGATCAAGATGAAGGCGCTGGTATCTGAGGAGGAACAAGGCAACTGAGACCCTCGTTTTTGTCCATGGGGGTCCCTGTGGAAATCAGTGAGGAGAAGAAATTCCTGGGGTTTTCATGATTAAAAATMTGGACTGGACTAGAACACCGAGACCGTCCACAAGAAGGGACAGAGAGGCTGGATACCACATAATAGAAATGAAATGATGGCAACTACTTGTCATAATAAGAAAATATATTTATTTTGTCTGACTTATTTCTTGAAAAAGCTGTTTGATCAGTGTATGTATAAAAACTGCACTGCTGCAAACTTATTACTTCTATTACTTGAATAATCTTTAGATAAAGGAGCCATTTGTTGCATCTTTATTCCTCCTGTAGCTTTAGAAAATCTGCCATACGGCTGCTGAACATGGTACCACTTGGACAAAATTTACAAAAAAAATGTAAAAGATGTCAACACAACTATGACATCTTGGATACTGAAGCATCCTTTTGATTATCTAACATGACTAATTCCAATAATGAAAGTGTAAACTATTTGATTTGCATTTCAAACTGTTCCTAAAGGAAGCTTATGGCTCTTTGACTGAAGGAGTGCACATCACCTGACACTTCATCAGTTTCAGATCATCTTGAGTTGACTAAAGTGGCTGCAGTTTTAGTCAAACCTTCAAAGAGAGGTTATAGTGTGTGAAATCTTGAATGGCATTGTGACAAGTTGTGTAAGACTCTCAGCTACTACCACATCAAACTGTAACTCCTTCTGTAAAACAGATATTATATTATATACTCTATTATACATATTATACAACAAGAGTTAGTCAGTTATATAAATATCCAGATTACATAAATCTTAAATTACTGAATAATCAAAATCAGTTCAGAGGTCGAGATATTTTGCTAACAGAGAGAGTTGAGACCATAAAAACAATGGCAACATTAAATATGTGATAGAGATCAGTCTCAGCTATACTACCACACCAAATGTTCGGCTAATGGCTGTATTACTGACTGACTTAAAGCCAGGTTTTTGTTTTCTAAGGTCACCTGGCTCTGGCAGCCATCTTGAACTGCGCTGGCTCAAAAAGGTGAWCAGTTGTAGATGTACGTCAAATAAGTATTTCCTGAAGATTTCATTCAAATCTGTTCGGTGGTTCACGAGATATTTTGCTAACACGACACACTCTGACAGGGTGAAAGAATATTTTGCAGACATCACATTAGTATAATCCGTCCGAGAGTGTAATACAAGTAATAACAGTTACTTTATGTTGTTTTAAAAAATAAATAGACGTGTACAGAGAGGGCTCCTTACCGCTCTGAACTTTATTTCAACCACCACTTTAAGCGCTTTCGGAGTCATTTAGGATGTACTTTAAAAAAAACAGACACTGCTCCTCTGTTGTTTGCAGTCAGCTTCACGTGTTGACATGGTTACCGCCACTTCCGGGTAGACTGACCTTATTTGGGCAGTGACTTGTCCACATGCRGAACAACAAATGTAAACAAAGCACCGCACAGCTCAGCATCTGTTCTTTGGCTGTTTTCAACGTGATCTGCTGAAGGCCGACCGTGTTTTACCTGAGTCTGAACATATTCCTGAACAGAGTTGTAAACTAAGTACAAATAGTTTACTTTGTTACTGTACTTAAGTAGAATTTTTGGGTATCTGTACTTTTCTTGAGTAATTATTTTTCAGCCTACGTCTTACATTTTTCACACAATTATCTGTACTTTCTACTCCTTACATTTTTTTAAAAAGRCAAGAAGTAGAAAGTCATCACTTTAATTTCATTGTATCTTGTTTTCATTCGTTATTGTAAAAATAAATAGTATCCATATAAATTGTGCCTCCTGGATAGAGTGAACTTAACTGTGGTTGAATGAGAAGTATAAATATATAAAATTATGATACTGTATTAGTTTGTACACAAACAAATCATGTCACACTTTAGCAGGACACAATCATTAAAATAAAAGGACTGTACTTCAGAAGTATTTGTATTTCATGAATTATATTATTACATTTGGTCGCAGCCCTCAGATAGATTTTYATTTTGGGGAAAAGGTTTGTGCAGCCTTGATATATGTACATAAACTGAAACAGTTAGACTAGTGCATCTTAAATTTAACAAAAATTATTTTTTGATACAATACAGTCATTTCTGCGTTGTTTTTTTTTTAGGTCACCTCCTAATAAATGTCCTTACAGGAAATCTAACTGCTCATTTCAAATCAATACTTYTGCTTTTAATACTCAAGTACAAAAAATATCAGTTTTACTTTTACTCAAGTAATATTCCTAAAAATACTTTAATTTTTATCAAAGTAGTCTTTTGGTAAGATACTTGTAGCTACTTTTACTTAAGTATGACTTTATGGTACTTTATACAACACTGTTCCTGAATCCCAAGCATTTGCTTGGTGTATTTTTAAAAAATTTCCTCTAGTTATTAAGGATTAGTAGAATCTCACAAAATATTATTTTCCAGCCATAAGCTGGTAAAATATACTGTAAGTTATTTAAAATATAAAAAATAAAACTTAAAATGTAATCTCCCTTAACAGGAGCAGCTGGTCTAAAACCAATGTCCTCAACATCAGGATGCAGATCTCAGGAGGTTCTATGGTTAAATCCTTCTTCTAACATACAAAGCTCTTAACAACCAAGCTCCATCATATATTAAACATCTTATTGTTCCATACTTTCCTAACAGAGCACTTCACTCTCAGACTGCAGGTTTACTTGTGGTTCTTCCAATTTCTAAAAGTAGAATGGGAGGCAGAGCTTTCAGTTATCAAGCTCCTCTCTTGTGGAACYAACTTCCAGTTTCTGTCTGTGAGGCTGACACTCTGTCTACTTTTAAGATTAGACTGAAGACTTTCCTTTAAAAAAATCCTAGATAGGGGTAGGTTTCCTAAATTATTCATTAGTTTGGTTGCTATAGACTGCTGAAGGACAAACTGACCATATTAACGTGCAGTGCCCTGAGAAGACAACTGTTGCTACTTAGTGCTAATTAAATTGAATTTCTTATATATGAGGACAAATAAGCTGAGCCGTGAGTGTTTTTCTCAATAAGTCATATTAACTATAAAGTAAAAACTACAGTAGACTTGTGTATGTTAGAAGGTCTCCTGACTCCTGTATTCCTCTAATAATTTTAATAGAACTACAACAAAACAAATCTCCTGAACGTCTGGTCTGGCTTTTGGTTTTGGTGCCACTCTGAACATCTAATGAACGACTGGACAAATGCAGGACAAAACTGAACTAGACATGGGTTTTTACGATGTAAAAACAAGTGTGCATTGCCATATAGCATGTCATTGCAGCATGGCTTTGCCTGCAGCAGTGGACTTGCAGAATGAAATGTGACCAAGTTCAAATGTGTTTTCTACCAACTTGTGCTTGTCAAGTCAGCAGGTGTTTGTAATGAGGGTAATTGTGTAACAATATGAAGTTTGTAGAGATTTTTAGTTAAAGTTACTGTAGCTGGGTTTTAACCCTGATCTCCCACATGAAAGCCCATATAGTTAACCATGAAACCATTGGAGTTGTGGCAGAGGGCAATGCCAGGGGTTGGTTTGTATGTGTGCAGAAAGGGGCCACATTGCCAATGCAATTGTTGATACCAAACTGCAATATATTACAGCAATAGAGCAATATTAGGACAATAATAATAAAACATCAAAATACAATCATATTAGTATTGTAACCACTGAACTATTGAGATTAAATATTATTAAACTATGGTTCAGTACCAAGTTGAGTACAGCAGGGGGCAGTATTGGACCAATACAAAGCTCCATTGACTCCCATTATAAATTATTAAACATTAATATTTCAAAAACTATAAGTTGTACAGGCACCAAAAGGCATAGCCATCATTTGGCACAGGAGCTTTACAGGTATAAATTACAATAGCAGCTGGAGGACAAAGTATGCAGGAGGAGAAGCGTGCCAAAGAGATGACTTGGATGAGAAACGAATCACAATAGTGTGCATTGCATTGGCAATGCACACTGATGAAGTGAGACAACACAAAGTGATCACTGGATGAAAGTTTGCAAATAAAAACATCTTGGAGCCAACCCAAAACAAGATGGCCACTGCGGCTAATCAACTGTAGTCAACACAAAATATGACTATAACGTACGCTAAGTAATGCTCCACATACAGAGCTACAATGATGGGTGATGTGCAATCTTTTAAGAAATGCAAGTTTCATCACAAATTAAAACATTTTTAGAATGAGTGGCAGCTTTTCTGATCGCTTCTTTAAAGTTTAAATAAAACACCATTCTGAGAACATATGCTGAAGTGCTGTGTTTATGATCCTTGACATTTTTTAATGGCTCCAGTGGACACAGAGCTACAACTTTCAGGTCCAAAGAGCAAATGAAAAAGCAGAAAAGCTAGCAGTAACTGTAGCAGAACAGATTGTAGCCCTTATCAAGATATGTACAACTGAAAAAGCAAACTTTTCAATAAATATGCACTAAAACAAAAAGTCTGGAACTGTTAAARCAAAACTTCTTTTGGTTAAAAAGTAATAACTTTAAGGTTTTCTTGTCATTCAAGTCCATTTGTCCCAAACATTAATCTCTGGTCTCTGCAGGTTCTGCAGGCTCTGGGTCAGAATCAGAATGAGAGTCTTCGTCCTGGTCTTTTGCTGGAGTATTCTCTCCGTCCTGGTTGATGGCCACAACTCCTTTTCTCTGAGGCAGAATGGTAAAAAACGCTTCCTGCCAGCTGCCCTTTTCCAGATACGCCAGGATGATCTCAAACACTGGAGAGAGTGGGAAAAACCAACCACAGGCTGAAGGTTTGGACCTTTACTTCAAGAAAAACAAAACTACCAGAGATTATTACTGTTCCAGTAAAAAGTAATCACATTTATTCATGCACTCATTTAAAATCTACAGAGCCCGTGAGGGGACTTGGGGGGGTGAATATAATCACACAGTATGCAATTTACTGATATTTTGACTCACTGCAGCCAGGCAGTATCAACGTCATTTTCCCAAACTTGTGGTGACATCCTTTTTCAGCAAACGATATTTCAAAATAAAAGTCTGATTAAATTCATTTCATACAAAACCAACTTTTGCATGGGAACAATAATGCGAGGGAATGCAAACATTTGTGGTGGAACTCGAAAAGTACTGTGAGGTAACACAAGGGTACTGCGTAGAAACACAAAAGACCCCCCTATGTCCCCTGGAGGGCTCTGTAAAAATCTTTACCGTGGTTGACTGCCAGAACTTTCCGACTGTTCATTTTGACAAAACTGCTGAGGGGAAGCTGTGCGTGTTCAATCCCAAGCTCCTTGGCCCTCTCGTAGGTCAGCCCCTGAAAAAGACCCCCCACACCCTGCAGGTCAGAAATGATCCAATCAGTGAGCAGAGTCTTTAGTCTGAGGCACCCTGACGGGCTGACCTTGTGGTGGTTGTGGTCCACCAGGCCTCCGATGACGTAGGCCTTCTGTTGGTCCAGTTCCTCCAGAACGTTGGGAGAGTCTGAGGTCAGGTAGACCAGCTGGTCCTTGGCTAAAACTTCACTGTAATGTTCAGTTTTAATGGTGATGTCCTGCAGACAGGAGCAGAAGACTGGTCCATCAGAAACTAAGGTTCTTTAGTTAGTTTTTAATGTAGAGAAGGAGTTCAACAGAACCAGTTTACTTTCTATTTCAGAAGAAATACTGAAGTGAGAATAAACTACCAGTGCGTGGCAAAAGTATTCACCCCATTGATTTTCTTTTTAACTTCTTTACAAATTTAAAGATAACTAGAGAAATTGCATTTCCTGCAAAAAATCTGAATGCATATTGCCAAAAACTTCAGCTGAAAACTGCTGAAATGGAGCTGAACAGGTTTTATAGCAAAATTGTTAATGGCAGTTCAATTTGAAGTTGAAAGCAGCACAGAAACACAGAAACTAGCAGAAGAATAGCAGAAARRAGCAGAATAAATGAAACTGAGAAAAAAAGCTATAATTGGCATAAAAATAAGCTAAAGGTAGACACATGTTGAAATTTGAACCCAGCTGGTGAAAGCGGTGTAAAAATGTTAAATTAGTAGAAAAAAGAAGAATAAAACTACACAAAGTGTTAATTTGTTGTAAAATAGCAAAAACAGCCAAAATTGTGCAGCAAAACAGCTAAAATGTAGCTAGAAATTTTAAAATTAGCACAAGGAGCACACGTTTGCTGAACTGAGCAGAAAGAAGCTGAGCTAGCCATTAAAATGTGAATTTAGCCTAAAACGCTAACTTTAGCTAATAACAGCCGAACATTAGCAAAAATTTGCTGCAGATGTAAAAAGCATAAATAGCTCAAATTAGCAGAAAGAAGCAAAATAAATACAGAAAATAGCAGAAAGAAGCAGAATTATAGCTAAAATATCAGAAAAAATACTAAAATTAGCAAAATAGAAGCTAAAATTAGAGTGTGAGATGATTTGTTTGTGTACAAACTAATAC